AATTAGGAAATGAAATGTCCAAAAAGGTTAGTGGTGCTAAAAAGCTAATGCCCTATCGCATCTGAAATAAAGTTATGACTTTCACGAGGCTCTTACCGGAGCACTCTGCATCTGCTCTGCAGCTGAGCTACCTAGCAAATGTACTTTTTTAGAAAAGCCAGACATATGTAGCTGGTTGTGATGCAAAGATCAAAATATATTAGTTCACAAATCATGCATTTATGAGCTAAAAACACAGTACTGTGCAAGGAACCATTAAGTCTTTATTAATCAATAATCAGCTCCTGTAATCATGATTTGTGTGAACAGCAATAAAAGTTGTTGGTGTTTTACTGCCTCTCATGTTCATTTTACCTGGAACCTGCTTTGAAGTTTATGTATAGGAATGTTTTTGGAGTTTTGATAATGTAAATAGAGGTACATCAACTATTGCTCCTGCATGATGTTCCCATATTCCCACACACACCAAAAATATTTCAATTACAAGAAGAATGTTTTAAGTGTCCTTTTATTTGTCCAAAGTAACTACAAATACAGACTCTACATCTGCTGTGTAATTCCCTTTGACTAGTAGGACCAAATGGAATTGCAATTTTTTTTTAACAAACAGGTTTCCCAAACTACTTGTTTATATAATCCAATGTGTTTGCCTTTTTCCATCTTTAGACATCTTCATGCAGCCTTTAACGTATTTCCACAAGAGCACACTCGACTGTAAGGCTTTTGACTCTACACACTCTCTTCAGTTGGTCTCCTTCGCTCTCTTGCATGTTTGGGAATGTTGTCGCCCATCTCCAGTGTCAGGATAGGGCTAATTTTAGCAGGGCAGCTGAATGTGAGGGGTCATAATGCTGGATAAATACAGTGGCCAGTCAGACAGGCAGCTGTCGTGGTCTGTGCCAGATCTTTTCTTCTCTCCCTTTCTCTTTCTCTCTCCTTCGCTTCAAGGGTCGCTCCATTTTATCGGTGCTCCTTTCAGCAAGAAAGGTAAGAAATTAATTTTAAAATGCATCTAAATTCTGTCTTAACAGGACATTGATATTAAAAGACTATCACAGTGCTAATGAGTATGAATAAGATAACAGAAATAGGAGAGTATGGCTGTGTGGTGGCTTTATCAGAGCAAAACACTTCAAATAAAAAGTGGAGGAGGAAGCAAGAGTTATATATTTTCTTCCTGGTTACTGAACTCAGAACTGCAACAAAGCGCCTGACCTGTTGAACTGTTATAATTGTTATCATGATGTTGCTGGTATAGTGCTAAATATCGCAGAAAGCTCACTATATATCTAAAGGCTTCTATGTAATTGGCTTTTGGTGCAAGATCTGTTTAATGCTTTAAAGCAATTAAACAATATTAATTCTTCAAATAATTTTAAATTAAAATAAAATAAATTAGTTAGTTAATTAATTCATTCATTCATTTAATTAATTTAAATATATTATTTTTTACAAATTTGAATCTCACAGCATACCAGTATGTTCACTACCAGTATTGACACGATTAGATCAAATATGGTCGAGATGTTTAATGATTAAATTGGCAATATTTCAAAGCAATATAAATCTCTATGTAAAAATGAGACCATTTTTCTACCTATTGCAGAAATGTAACAATCTTCAGCTGATTTTAATGATGTTCACACAACAGAGCCATTTAGTAAATCATAGCTAAACCATTAATGAATGAAACTAAATGATTCATTTGGAATGATTCAAAACAATCTAATGAATCTGACTAAACTGCACTGGCATGCATCCGTCAGCCCAATGTTACAAAAGTCAATGCAACTGTACTAGGCCTTCTATATGATTGCATTTTTCTCATATTACTACCATTTTTTAGCTTTTTTTATAACCAGTGGCTCATTATAATTGTTAATTATAAAAAATAATATATCATCAGTATCAATGCTTGTGTCTCTGAGGGTTCAAGTGTAGAAAAAATCAAATACTTATTGTACTCATTGTACAATAACCCATAGTACTTATTGCACTTATTGTTATCAAACACTTATTGGTTGCAGCCTGCAATGTTCACCAATGGAACAAACAGAACAAAAGAAAACAATATACATAAGTACTTTTTGGATATATATACTCTCGTGCAAGAACAGCATGTTAACACTAGTGCAGCTGGTAGGCACTAGTTTATATATAGTCTGAACTCTTAGGAAGAAGTGTCAAAAAGGGCAAAGGTAGAATCAGTGGATGAAGGGTGTGACAGGAAAAGAGCTTGTCCTACATAACTCACATAAAGGTCAACAATGAGAGTAGCAAGGCTTTACACGTACAGAACTCTTGAGGAGGACAGAAAGAGGGAGTAAGTGACAGTCATTATGAGGAAATGAAAAGAAAGAAAGATAAAGACGAAGAGCAGGATTTAAGTTCTGTCACAGTATGTTTCCCTATACACTAATAAATAAAAGCAGAAGTTCTCAAAAAAAAAATGGAGGATCTTAGTTTTCAAGTCATGCATGTCTGACCTCTGCAGGCAGTTTTTTGAGATATGGTTCAAAAATAAAAATAAAAAACTCCCTCTTTGTATTTAGATTAAAAGTTCATTAAAACACTTCCTCATCACAACATTCCTTTGAGTCACCATTAATTTTTTAGCAGATAATCCAAAAAGGAAATTACAGTACTTCCTGCAACAACCAATAGTGCAATGCTAAAAGTGTAGGTTATGATTTTTAATACATTATATCTTCTACATCAAATTACACATTCATACACACTTTGCTTGTTTATTTAATTTTTCTTTGACATTGAGCAAGAGGGTGGCTAACCGCACACTGATCCACTCAAGACTAAAAAGTCTACAAAAACATATTTTTAATTTTTATAAATTGCATTGTGCAAAGTGCATGTGAATTAAAAACAGATGGACACGAGCAAGCAAGCAAACGTTTCAGCACATTGCTATCTTCAGTGCTCACTTAACAAACAACATTCACCCTTTTTAAGTAGGTCAACAATTAAAGACAATCAGCTGAATTCAATTATCTCAGGTAAACCTCAATTAATCACAAGCAGAATTCCAAGAAAGTTTGATCATTCACATATATAGCAGAATATTACAAGTATACAACTTCAAAGAATGACCAAACATTACAAATACAACAAACACAGCAGGAGAGAGAGAAGATAAAGCAGTAACGACAATACCAATTTTTACAAAAAACAAGAGAGTTCTAGTTCTTCATTCATACCCTCAGGAAATAAAGATTTAAGTTCAAAGATCCAGAAAGCCTCCCTTTGCAACAACTTCTTATCTCTATCTCCGCCTCTTCTATGAGGTAGAATCTCTCGATGCCCAGGAACTGTCAGACAAAGAGTGGTTGGCAGACTTAAAGTGACAAGAAATTGAAGATGTATCATCCTGTCTCCTAATGGCACTTGGGTGTTCAATCATTCTTGTGCGTAATGCTCGTATAGTTTTGCCAACATATAGTTGCAAACATGGACAGATGATAATGTAAATAACATATGTACTCTTACAAGGGATCAATTGTCTAATCTTATAGGTTTTTAGTGTACGAGGATGTGTACATGATTTACACTTAACATACTTAATACAGGAAGTACAGTTGTGACATGGAAAATTACCCCGGGCATCGACAAGAGTAGTCAGAGAAGAGATGTAGGTGTCAGCATAAACAAGCTTATCCCTCAAATTAGAGCTCCTGGAAGAGACAAAGAGTGGTTGATCACTAAATACATTCAATGCTAAAAGTGTAGGTTATGATTTTTAATACATTATATCTTCTACATCAAATTACACATTCATACACACTTTGCTTGTTTATTTACTTTTTCTTTGACATACAATTTTAATTTCTTTGGACATATCAAAGAAATACCATGGTATTGTAATCTCTAAAGGTCATGTGTGTATTTTTTTCAGCATTAAAATACTTTCTCCTATATCAGCTTAAACAAAACCAACTTTAAGTAAGCCATAAAGCGCTGCAGGAATGAGTTCTAACACAACGAAACGAGTTAGTCAATGGGTTTTTTGAATGGGTTTTTAGTTAAATGCCTGAAATAAGGTCTGTGGTGAACACAAGCTCAAGACATTTTCATGTTTTATTCTACAACCTAAAAAACATCAGTAATACCCCATATTTATTTAAGCTTTCATGTTTCTGATAAAAAAGGTGGTTGCTGAAATGTCACTAAATGGGACTAAAAACAGAACTCATCTACTCACTAATCCGCTGCTATGGTTTGTGGGTCCCCTGAAAAGCATATTTACTCGGGGCCCCCCTCTGTAAAAATTGTGTTCGGGGAGGGGTGTCCTCTCGGTAGAAATCGCATTCCGCGTGCCCTGCGGTAAAAAAAAAATCATGTTCCCTCCTCGGGGGGTCCCCTCT